CCCCTTGTCCGCCCTCCCTTCATCCCCTCCTCCCCTCCCATCTACAAACACTTTATTTCCATCTTTTCATTATCTCACATTTTTTTATTTTCCCTTTTGACTCTTCCCCTACCCATCCCACCTTCCCTACACCTTTAGCTCTTATTAAAAGTAGCAGCTTTCCTTTGCTTTTCTTTTGTGTCAAATATATGAAATTAATGAATTTACAAATATCTCCTGAAAATTGTTCAGTGTCCTCCTTTCTTTGTTTATCTTATTTATTCCTCTTGGAGGATTGCTTCTTTTGTTTTATTTTATTTTTCAATCTCTGTAGAATATAAAATCTGCCTGGTCTCCAACTTCATTCCAGGGCTTTAAGATTCTCTTTGTTTTGTCAAGTTGATTTCTTCTTTCCATATCTACTTGTATTTAAAATTGTTTTGCCTTTTTGGTGATTTTATGAGTTGTGTTCATTGACTGCTTTATGTCATGAAACGTTTTTAGATTAAGCTGTATTTTTTGGGAAAGGAGACAGACAAATATATTCTTGAATTACTTTAATCAAATGTATTTGTTTAAGTGTTTTGTGGCCTGAATTAGAGCAATTTAAAAACATGGCTTTGAGTTGGAATTCTTTTGCAAAAATAAGTCTACTAGCTCTGAAAAATGGAGTAGTTTTATTCTCACTTTAAACTATTGTCAAATTTAAATGTTGATGGTACAATTGAAAGCTGTAGCTTGAGACTCAGAGATCTAGCTACTTCTGGCTTTTCTTCTAAGTAATATTGAGGAGATCAGTTAGACTCTGGTTCTTAGTTGTCTTTTCTAAATAGGTAAGTTTGAATTAATGTCTTAGAAAATGTAGAAAATTTAAAACTATAAGGCATTGTGTTAAAACAAGGTCTTTTGAGATATAAATCAAAATTGTTTTGAAAGTATAATTTCATTTCTTCAAGGTATCAGTATGGATCTACTATCAAATAAACTGGTATGGAGTGATATCCTTTCTTATGCTCATATGCTACGGATATGAATACAAGCTATAGTGAGATTTAAGTAGCATCAATTAAACTTTTGAGAAGTCACACTATTTGATCTTTGCTAAAAATGCTGTCAAAATATAAATCTAATGTAAACAAATACATTATTTATATCTTCTGATAGCCATATTGAAAAAGTTTTTAAAGTTGAATGTTATTTTTCAATTACAAAATTGAGTAATTTGGGGGTTACATATCAGTTAATCTATATAACTAAAATATTATTTCTTCAAAGTGTGATCAGTTTTAAATGTTTAATGAGATACTAATTTTAAAATAAGTCTTAAAACTGGTGCACATTTTATATTTACAATAATCCTCAGTTTGGATTTGCCACACTTCAAGCATATTTTGGCTTTATCTGGCTTATAGCCACCGTATCGGACAGCACAAGTCCAGATAAAATACTTTATTCTAATCATAACACCAGAAACTGTGCACTAAAATATGTGAAAAAGCCTCCACGTCTTTATATTCAACTGAATTTCAATTAACCTATTGAGAAGATTGTGTTTGCTCAGGTTTTGACAATGTGGCCACTTCTCCACAACACAAACCCCACAGATGTCAGTCATCTTCTAGAGAATGCAGGTTGTGCAATGAATCCCAATTATCCAGCATCCATGACAAGGGCTGCGATGGCTTTGCCTGGGATGTCAAAAATGGGCTCAATTTGAAAGTGACATATTTCATTGTGTTTGTTGAGAAACTGATGCCTTATCAGAAAACCTGGTTTTCTACTGCCTCTAGAATATTGAATGCTGCAAACAGATTTATCAAGGCTTCATATATACTGCAGACAGTTCTTTTACAGACCTCAGAGCACAGAAAATTAGTCTAGACTTGCTGAGTGATTGAATAGGAGTATTACATAATAATTAGCTCTTTGAACTAAAATATTTAGCTGAAACTTCATCATTCTCTTTTTTTCTTTTGGTCTCATATTTATTTTTTAAAGTAGGAATAGGAGACATTTTCTAAAATCCTCTGTAAGACAAGGGTTAGAATTCAGATTGAGTCAGATTCAATATATGCTGAATCCTTCTTCCACAAGGTCACTGTCATTGGAGCAGATTTTTTCTGCAGTGTCTTTTAAGGGGAGTCAGTGCTCAAGTAGATATGCTTTCTTCACAAATTTTCAGAGTGTACCCGTGTCCCATAGCTTAGATTCATGTCACATCCTTTTGTCTTTTATGCAGTTTTAAAGCAGTAAGGCCTTGGAAATTAACTGTTCTTCCCATCATAGGTATGTGGAGGGCTTCAAATGAATGGCACATTCATGCAAGTTAGTAATGGACACCAGAATTCTCATGCAGGTTTTTCTTTGGACTCTTATCCAGGGCTAATTTTGACAACAAATTCTTTAAATATTTGACCATTACAGTAATTATAAGTTAAAGATGCTGAATCACAAAGGGAGATTTAAGTGGAAAGAATTATTTTGGTGTTTTCAGGGATCTTTCAAATTCTTCCAGTCCAGTAGTCTCTAATTCTGCTGTACTACGATTGTCCCCAGTGCTGACCATAAATATTGATTTTCGGCTCCTCACTTTGCCCTCAAATTTGAATCTGTTAGAATCCACTTTTGGGGGGGTCTTTATTTTTGTCAAAGCCTTCAGAGGATTTTTGTTTACAATAGGATTGGGTAGTCCCCCATCTTTTTCAATACAATGGAAAATAGAAGGTGTGAGATATTAATATACCTGTATCTGATCAGCAGATGTCAGGCCTGGGATCAGAGTTCCTCTGAGAATTCTGCTAAGACCCTTCTTCCCCTAATAATATTTCACAGTGTATATTGAACTAATTAAAGGAAAGGGGAAGGAATGCATTTTAGGCACATTTTCAAAAATGAGGAGTGTGTGTGTATGTGTTTCTCTGAGGATCAAACCCAGGGCCTTCTACCTGCTAGGCAAGTGCTGTAACACTGACAGTCACCCCGACTCTCAAAAAGGATTTTTAAATAATCAGTGCATGAGCCAATCAGATTCTCTTTCTACAGCAATTCCATTCAGTAACTTTTACAATCAAAGTTAGTAGAAATATTCTTCAGAGAACACAGCAAGCAAGTTCTTCTAAGCACATCTCTCTGTTTCAAGGTAAATGAGATTTATGATAATGGAAAAAGATGCCCATATTTCTTCTCCTATGGCACCTGGAATCATTTAAGTAAGTTTATGTAAATTTTATGCAAATCTAACATGTTTTATGCTCCCAAACTTATGGAGATCATAACTATTTTTATTCACCAAAAGTTGGCCTTCAACAAGATACTACTGAGGACTGATGATCTATGCTTCCTCCTTCCGCCTAGATTTTTGTGACATTTATCATCATCTTACTTGGATACTCAAAGACTTGTAATGCATGTATATAGGGCTCAAATAAAACCTTGGCTTTCCTCTAACCCTGGTTGAATTACCTTCTGCAAATATTTAGGGATCATCCCTCGCAATTTCTTCTTCAGTTCCACAGTATACCTCATCTTGATTCACTTACACCACAAAGTAACAGTCATTCAGATTACAATTTTACTAAGCAAAGAGACACACCCTAACATGTATGGAAAGTAATACTAAATTGTATTAGTTTGAAAAGTGATTGTTTGCCAATAGCTGGGTTTAGAAAGAGATCATTTCTGGAAATGGAGCTCTAGAGAAAATTTTAGGGAGTGATGATTTCATTAATTTTCAGAGCATTATAGCCAGCTGGCAAAGGCTTTGCTATACCATTGTGGCTTATTGCCTTTGAAATTGCTTTCTTTTCTTAAATTAACTTGTCTAAGCTAAAATGACACCATAGAAATAATAGGGTGATAAAACTAGTTTCTTTGTACTATCTTAAAAGCATCTTAACTAACTTAAATAATAGTTATGACTGCTGCAATATACTCCATAAAAAGACAGAGGTTGGTGTTAGGAACATTTATAAAGTCACATATTAGTTTTATTGATAAAGAACATTTAAAATTATATATATATATAGAGAGAGAGAGAGAAAGAGAGAGAGAGAGAGAGAGAGAGAGAGTTAGTTCTAGAGACTTTTGGCCACAAGAAGAAAGGAGTTCCCTATTTAAATCAATACCTCGTGGTCCCACTTGTAGCAGTGGAAAAGGCACCAAGCATTAAGTCAGAGGGTTCAGGTTCACTGGTGGTTCCTCTCATTTATTTGTGTGAACTTGGGCCAATGAGTAAAATTTTTTGGTCCTGTTTCCTTATTTGCAAAATAGGAATAGTAATACTAATGCTACCTTCTTCATAGGGGTTATGGTCCTGGGAACGAGCTTCAGAGAGAAACTTTTCTCAGGATAAAGAATTAATGGGTAGATACTTGGAAGCTTGCATGGTCAGATGGACGTGCGGATGAACCAGGTAAGCCTCTGTTGCTCCCCTTAAAGAAATCTGTCAGACAATGTCTTCTTTGGGTGGCTGCTCAATATGTAGAGCAGGCAGCTCAGAATTCTTCACGTGTAACATGTAAGATTTTGGTCAGTTTTGAACTGTTGAACCAGTAGCATGTACTTCTGCTTCTTGAATGTGGACAGTGGTAGGTGATCTTGCTGATTCTGAAGGACCCCATTACCCCACTAGAAGTTTCGTCTTTCTTGAAGGTGGATTGTAATTTTGGCCCTGGTGGTACTTTCCTTGGACTCTGATTCTGCTTTTGGGGTTAAACACACACACACACACACACGCACACATATCTCCTCCCTTATACATGTGGAAACACTTCTCTAAAAATCAGTCTAGATGCCTAGTTAGGATGGAGGTATCTCTTCTGTTTGTTAGCTCATGATCGCTGGCATTTAAAGCCTCCAGAAAGTATTTCAAGTTGTTCCAAACTTGACATACTGAAAGTTAATCTCTACTTCATCCTAATACTCTTAAAACTCAAACAATCAGATATTGAAGCCTTGCATTAGTCAGGTTTATGGAGACGAAAGAACAACCTGAACTTTACAAGGTGTCAAGGTGTTACTATAGGAGCAAACAGGTCCACAAAACACCTATTTCATCTGTAATGTTTCTGAAGCCGAGCACTAAGCTATGTTTTAGAAAATATATGGTGTCTACCTATAGTCCTATGTTTTTGTTGAAAAGGAAATTGTCATCAAAAGCCCATCTTCCAAAAAGAAAAAAAAAAACCCAACTTTCCACTTTTTCAATGATGTGAAAGATGCATCATTTATCCCAGACATTTTGTCATTCATTTTTTAGCATTCACCCACTATTTTCCTTTATACATCACTCATTTATCAAACACTTAATTTTCTATTATATGTCAGGCATTTGGCTAGATCTGAGTGCTAGATATACTGAGTAGAAGAAGACAAAGTTTCTGGCTTAAAGACCCTGGTCATCAAGTGTCTGAAACAAGAGGCTAAAGTGAGGTGTTAAGCATGGAACAAGAAAAAGAGATTCCAAAAAGAAGGAAGTAGGAGGAGAAAAAAGAAAAGGGAGAATCTGAAGTACAAATACTAGATGATGTGAAATATCCATAAGGAAGTGTGACTCATAAACCGTGAAGATGGAAAGTAGCACGCTGATCTAAATTCTTTATCTTCCACAGGAGAGACTGAGCTAGAAGGACGAAAGACAGGCATGGTCCCTTGGGATTATTAATCATTTCCAGCAGTTTGGCATAGTACCGGGATATCTCATGTGGTTAGGGCAAGACATCACATTGTAGAATTCATCTTATTATATTGTGTGGTGATGACATCTATAGAAACATTTTATTTTTTATAATAGATGATAATCTCACAGACTAATAAATTATCCTCTTAACTACCCATAAGATGAGACTAGTTCTCCCAGTATAAAAGCTTTTTAAAAGCCCCATTCTGACAACATCTTGTAGAAGACATCTTTAATTTTCCAGACCAGTTGCCCACTAATTAGTATCTCAAGAGTTTAAGTGCTATAAATGGTAGGTACCCTCCTAATTTTTAAGAACTAAAATGGCTTGGGGAATTTTCTAATTTACATCCCAAGAAAATCCAGAACAAATGTTGATAAAAATGGGATGTATTTCTATGCCTATATTCAAAGAGAAACATTTGTTTATTTTCACACAATATTAGAACTTGTAGCACTTCCTGTCAAAGAGTGATATGGTGTAAATTAGGATGAAACCTAGAATTTAAATTAAATTCACATCTTAGCCTAATCCTTATAATATCCAATTGAGCATCAAACTCAGAAAATCTTGCTTATAAAATCTCTACTTCATTTCTTTCTTTAGAGAAACTATTGACCTCAAACTCCAGTAAATTATTAGACCAAAGAGAATTTCAGTCTTTTGATTCTTGGCCTAATTTTCTCCCTCCATTTTCAGTATGGAATAGGGATTGAGCCACACAGTGAAACCAAACTTTTTAAGAATTACAAAGGAAATAAGGAATAACTATTTTTTTAATTAAAAAAAATTTTTCCTCATTGAATTTATTGGTACTGCATTTTTTAAAAAATATTTTTTAAGGAAATAAGGAATAACTTTAAAAATAACATTTAAAAATGCAATTTGTCTTTTTTAATGAGCTCTGGATATAAATAAGGGTGTGGTTCTAAAATGAGTTCTTTTTCCATTGCCTACAATGATGCAGAGGAATAGAGGCTATTAAAGAGACATTTATATAACTATTAGCCTCTAAAACAATAGGCAGCATTGTATTATTCTGGAAGATGTTCACAGAGGAGAAATAATTTTGTCCTTTTAAAATTTAGTATCTTCTCTTTTTTCCTGTGTCATTTGGAAGAGACTCTCTTTTTTTTCTTTTTCCTCTTTTAAAGCAAAATAAGTGTTATGCATTAGTAGGTAGTAAGTGAATTCTTTTTGCCAGCAGGAAGAAAAGCAATTTTTGAATGCCAAAAATAGCTCCTTTGTGTGAAAATATCACATGCCCAAAGACATTTTAGGAAAGAAAGGAGTGATTCATGTTCTGAATTAATATTTTTAAAATGTACAGGCAGAGAAATGTTAGCAATAGATTCAGAAGAAATTGATATGAATAGAGAGAGCGAGAGAAAGAAGAAATGTGCAATATTATCTACATTCATGGTATTCCCCAAATCTCTATGTCTGTCCTGTTTATAGTGTGTCAATTTTTTGTGTGATCTGAGAATAATAATTTATCATTTGAGGTTATATTTATAAAAGAGAGGTGTTTCTAATAATCCTACTTGGTTTGAAGTATTTCTTTCCTTCCCTGCCTTCTATTGCCTAATTCCTATGTAATGTTACCAACTAGACAAAGAAAGCAAGAACCTCAGTATAAAAGATGTCAGTGCTGGGGACAGAAGTTACATCTTGTTCCTTTCTTCGTCTTTAAATCACATATACACCTTTGGGACTGATAAACTCTAAAGAAAGTCTTTGTCTATTATGTACATGTAGAAGACCGTCAGCCAGTTACAACGATTCTTGGTAGACGAAGTAGTCATCTATCACCTGGACCACCCCTCCCCTCAATAACCTGTCCTACTTTCTTTGGAAATGATTTACACCTTTCCTTTAAAGAACCAACCCTTCTTATCATATGCCATGTTGGTGACACTGTCAGGCCAGTTATCTTGTCTTTCTTTGGGCCAGTGGATGGACACATGGTTGAAGTTTGAAGAGAGACATCCTCCTGTGACTATGAGTTTTGAATGGAGTGACAGAAGCAAAGATTATGGCAATTGACTCATTTTGCTACTTGTCCCCTGAAGAGGGCAATAAAAAGATCTTTTAATTCAGACACAACGGAAACAACTGGTCCACCTTTTGCAAATGCACATACAAGTGTACAAGTAAAGCTTTATTAAGGGTGAGGTGTTTCAGCAAAATTGGGTCATTGGCTGAAGAAAAGCAGAATTTGGAGAAGACAGAGTGACCATGATGCTACTCACAGAACAGAGACAGCAGCAGGTTTTCTTGAATTGTAAGGGTGGGCTAAGATCCAGTAATGTCTAGGAAGGGCTGTAAAGGAATTTTTTTCTTGTGATGGACTGAGATGACCAGGTGGTCATGATCAACACATTCTATAGGCTGTTGAATTTTCATGTATGTGACATCATTTTGCACAAAACATTTGGCCTTGTACATGGTGGGTTAACAGGCTGTCAACTCTGATCAAGAACCACTGAGTTACTCTTATAATTGGTGTGATTGTCTTAAGTAAACATCCTGGACTTATTATGGGGCTGAAAGCCTTTTTGTACTTAAGATACTGAGAAATCACAAGGATGGGGGAGAAGAAATAAAAATACCAGCTTCAACAGACAATAGTTGGATAAGATAACCTTGTGTCACAGTATTGGACAAAACATTTGTTGAATGATCACGACATCTTTGTGCAGAGCTAAGCAGAACCCTGCTGAAGGGATAAAACAGCAAAGGGGACAGACACAATATGAAGACAGAGATGCTAAGCCTTTCATCCTGTTTCAGCCATCCATCAGACACCTGCAGGCCCAGGTGGAGACCCATCCTCAGCAAAAGTGGCCTTCAGGTTACTGGGCGGTAACCCAGGCAACTGTTACCATGACTCATACATCAGTGATGCTGTCTATTGCAAAGCCAGTAAAAAAATAGTCAGCAGCATGACATCCAAAATTAGTGCTCATAAGTTGCCTAAGAGCAAGTGAAGTGAAGGAATTTTTAAAGCTTCTTTTTTCTGTGATAACAATTTCATGCAAACATCCTGCTTTTTTCGTTTTATCTGGTCTCGTGATCAGTCTGTTCAAACATGCCATGCTATGAATGGTAACAGTTTATTGCACCCAGGAGTTTGCATCACCTCATCCTTCTCTCCCCAGCTGTCCCACCACGGTGGCCCCTCCTTGTCCCTATTGATACAGTCTTTCTCTGTCCTAAACCATGTGACTTGTCCTTATTCCTTCCTCCTGAGGCTGGGTTTCTTTGGTTCCATTGTATATTTCACATTATTGCAGTTAATTTTGATTCTGTAAGTTGGCCACAGTGTTTATAAATAAAAAATCCTAATTTCTATAGGCAGAACTAGTTCCCCAATGTGATTTATCTGTTAGAAAGTTGGGTAAAAAGATGGGGGTAGATAACATTCCCATTTTGAGAAATTCAAATACTAAAATGGCTAATTTCTTCCCCTTGCATTTGTCTCTGTATTATCTGTTCATTCATTTCTTTGATTATATGCTCTTGAGCCCATGAATTTGTTGACTATGCAACTTTAAGCACTAAGCATATTCCTCAGATATCGGCCTGGCAAACACCCACATCTCCTTTAAATCTGTATAAACGTCACTTTCTCATTGAGGCCTGGGGCCTTCTTCCCCCAGTCTACATCTCCAATCCCCTCTGATTTTCTCTAAATTGTTATTTTTTTAGTATACCTTTGCAGTATATAATG